ACTCCAAACTAGTTAGCCAACTAAAGGGTGACCTAAGCATTGATGGTTGCCAGTTGCCCTCTAGAATATCCAGATCTTTCTGAAGATCAGGAGGAGGTTCATGGTGCCCTATATCTCAGTGGGCAAGTGTTGGAAAGTGTGGGGCAGCCAGGAGATGCATCCGTTGAACCCTACCCCCTTCACCTCCTTGGGCTGAGAAATCTTGGCTAAGCTGTCCTTACTTCTTTCCAAGAATTTGGGCCAACCAAATGTAATCAGGAGAGACAAGCCTGTCAGGAGCCAGAAACTAAGTAATATGGGCCTCGAAAGAGAATACCCTGGACTTCGAATGGAGCCCAGAAACAAATTGGCCACCAGTGTAGTGACTGTAGCATTGGTGTTAAATGGCTAACTGCTATCATGGGTTAACAATTGGTCACTGCCCTAGGGGCCAATTGAAACGGGTTCTCTTCAAAGAGAATAGCTTAGAGGGGGAATGGTGAGAACGTGCTACTGTTGTCAGAACATCCCAAGTTAAATAGGCCCATGGTTGGCACTGCTGTCCAAATGGGGCCAAGTACATCACCACTCTCCAAGGTGGTCATAACCACCATCTGCTGTTCTAGCAGGAATTGAATTGAGAAGGATACCAAACTGCTATGACCTTACTGAATATATCTGAGGAGGAAGTAGAGCCAGGGGCATCTAGGGATAATAGTCCCAGAGGGGGTGATTCCAGCAATATTGACTTTGGCTGAGGTAGATCCAGCAACCCCTCCTTCCTGCATCTATTGGCAGCCTCTCAGACATTCAAGTCCAGCCACTCGGTCCCAAGCAGAGACATGCTTCAAAGATGCAACAGTAGATAGACTAGCCAAAAGGCAGCCAACAGGAAAGTGGATTCTGATGAGTAATGAGTAATACTGATGGGCAATTGGATGGTGGCTCAGATTGGCTTATTCATTGGCCTTCCCCTGAGAAAAAAAACAACAAACCCCAGCTCTATTGTGTATTGTGCTTTGAGCACTGGATTCCATCTCACTGCATCGCTTGGATTTGTCACGTTTAATGGAGTCCTGGTTTTGACGTGTGCCACACCTTTTACTACGTGAGTGGTTGCCATCCGTAGATATTTTCTTCTAAAAGTTCTCCCTGAGCTTGCATGTCATTGGACTGGCAGATTGCTATCTTATTGGCTGGCAGCCAGTAGTGCTGGCACACAAAACAACCACACCAAAATAATGAATTTGACCCTTTAGGGGCGATGTGACATTATCTACACCTAAAATTGGAGCTGGAATAGAGCCTGATCCATTGCCAGCAAACAGCAATTCTATTTTACAGGGATGTAATCTGAGCTTGTTTAACAAATCTGGGTTGACACAGCCTCCAAGTACTTCATCAGCATTTCTACATCATCTCCTGTCCAGGGTTGAATTATAATGTATCAGTTAATATAATCAGCATGTTGGAAACTCACTCATTCCCTCTCCAAACTATTGTTTCTCCCAGCAGTTTTATGTGGAAATTAAATAAGAGGGTTAGACTAGCTCAACTGTTTCCTCTGCCTGCACACCAAGTGGAACCGTCTTCACAGGAACAACCACCACAAAGCTGCCTCTAATCCCCAACCCTTGAAGAGGATCCAAGAGAATACCATGATCAATCAAGATCTGATATGGCCTTTAAGGTCTCAACAAAATAATGCACCAGTTGCAGCTTTTTCTATCAGTTAAAAAAAAAGCCTAAATTAAGCAGCTCTTCATTCAATTCCTCAATATTTGAGCCCCTCATGCCTTGACTACTTCAATGCACTCTACATTGCCTTTGAAGACCACCCAGAAGCTTCAACTGGTACAGAAAGCAGCAATATGTCCACGTAACCCATCTGCTTTGCAAGCTGCACTGCAATTTGTTCCTGAGTGAGATTGAAGATGCTGGTTGTTAAAGCCCAAGATAGCATAGGGCCTGGTTATTTGAGGAACTGCCTGTCTCTCGTATCTTTCCAGCTGAGTTGATCTAATGGGGTTGGTTAAATGAAACAAAGTTATCGATCTATATCCCTTCCTTTCCCTTGCCTTCTCTCTGGAATGAGATTCCCTCCGAAGATCTATATGGCCGAAGACCTAGTTTTTTTGCTGAGGCCTTTGGTGAAGGTGAATACTCCCTTTGGATTGGGTGGATTCTTTCATTCCTGTATTCCAATCATTTGTTCTTAATTTTTGTATATTTTTTCATTTTTAATGTTTATTTGTGAAGTGCTCAGAGTCAGGCAGCATATAAATATTAATCAACAAAACAAAAATTGTCCACGCCCTGGATTAAAACTCAATTTAAAAAGTCCCATTTCCTCTATAACTAAATCCCTGCCACCTTTTCCAAAACCTAAGAGGTTGGCAATTGGGCAACATTTATCTAAGATAGACAATGCATGTGGGAAAGAGGTTCACCATTGCCTATTACAAGCCAGTTGGTATCACTCCCATCCTTCAGGTGTTTCCTCAAGCATAGAAATAGGGCTGATAAAGCACGAATCCAGCTCACAGGTGACAAAATATGCCAGAGTCGGCTCTGTCCATAACCTGTTGCCCAACTCATCTCACTAAGCCCCGCCCCATGTGGTATCCAACTTTGAACAAGTTGACCATTTTTTCTGTGAAGAATTTTACCAAGATGTCACAGTGGCCTGCAGGATAACCTCCGTAATTTTTTCCTTTGCTAAGGGGAACAGGTAATCTTTAACACAACCACTGGATAAGCATGCAGATGCATTAAACACAGAAATGTGAGCATACTTTGCTGCTATAGGTTGTCCTCATTTATCAATCATAATTGGAAAAGCCAACTCCATCATTAAGTTCTGTGGTTGCTAGGCGGAAAAGCACAGGATCATGACAAGCTTACATAACTTCCCATCCTGTTATTAAGAAAATCACCAGTGGAAACCCGCACCTAATTACAAGTCCTCTTCTCTGGAATGACCAACTAACCACCTCTCATCGCATCTCCCAAGGTTCATTGACATGGAAATATAACCTCACTACACATTTGATGCAGAGGTGGTATTCAGCAGGTTCTGGAGTATCGGTGGCGGAAATTTTGAGTAGTTCAGAGAACCAGCAAATACCACCTCTGACTGGCCCCGCACCACCTATTCTCTGCCTCCTGATTCCCAGCTGATTGGCTGGGTCTTCTTTGGTTGCCATGCACAGGAGAACGGAGCTGGAAAGCAGGTTAGTGGGGTGGGGAGGGAATGGAGATTTTGCAGCAACCTTCCCCTGCCCGCCCACCAAGCCACACTCACCAAGCCACACTACTCCCACCAAGCCACGTCCACAGTAAAAAAAATTGAATCCCACCACTGATTTGATCTCAAGGCTCCCTGACTCACCTTTTAGATTCCACTTAGAGCAATTAGCCCTCTCAATAAATTCCAACCCTATGGAGGAAGAGTCTGGAAGCTACCACTACTGCTCACATCCATTCCAATCACTCCACTCATTTCTCTCATTCCAACAATCCCCACCTCAACCACTTTCTCCGTTAATGTCCTAGGGCAGTGGGAAATCAATAACCTTCCATGTTGTACTTTTTTTTTTTTTTTGGCTGTTGAAACATTTCATCTCTCATCTCTTCAAGGCTCCAGAGGATTGTGACCTTAATGGGTAATTCGTATCTGACATTTTAGTTTGATTCCATTTTGTCCATTTGCTCTTTATAGTGCTGTTGTTTTGTGGGCGTTGCTATAGTGATTTGAATAAGTATACTACTTGGGACGTATTGCTTTCTGAGATGCCTGATAAATTGGTACTGCTGCCAGATGGACATTCTGAAAAGCAGAGTTTCTGCTTGTCTTTTTATGGTACTTTTGTGCCAGTCTTGTTTCCTGGCAACTGCCTGGATCAGTCCCTGCTGTTTTCTTGGCAAGGTTGTTCAGAAATGGCTAACCATTGTCTGCTTCCTAAGGCTGAGAGAAAGAATGACTGGCCTAAGGCCACTCCTGCCCTCCCTGGCCTTGAATTTAAGGCAGGATTAGAATTCATGGTCTCCCAGGTTCTAGCCTGATGCCTTAATTACTACCCCTAACTAGCTCTACAACACAAATTTAGAGTTATTTTTCAAGAGAGGTATATAAGAAATATAACAAGACACATCAATCCAAAAGTGAACCTTTATTCAAGCCAACTTAATACAAGAGAGAAATCCTTTAGAAGAGAGATTTTATAGCAAAGTCTTCCAAAATCTTCCAAATTTCTATAATTAAAAGCCAACTTCAAAAATTCAAAAAATGGAAAATAGAAATAACTGAGCAAATTTACAAGGTGTTTGAATATAGATGCTTTTCTTTAAAAAGAACACTTGCAGTTGTATACTTATGAAGGAAATATATTTTTCACAAAGCTGTAATTGTAGAACAATCTTTAATGGGTTTAGTTTAATACATTCAAATGAAATTGTCTTGGCTCTGCCAACTATTTGATTCAGATTTATGAATGTATTCATACTAGGCTAGGGGTGTCAAACTCACATCGTCACACTGGCGTCACATGACGTATCGGGACTTTGTCCCCTTCACTAAACCGGACATGGGAGTGGCCAGCGCGTAATATGGGCTGGGAGTTTGACAACCAGTATGCCAAAGATGAGGGCAATAAGTAATACTGTAATGTTGCAAGGCCCCAAGAACTACATTGTGGATTTACTTCTGAATAGTTTCGTTTATTGTTTTTTTTAAACCTATAAACAGAATCTTGCCAGGCTAAAGCAAATATTTGCATAACCATAGATATACTGTGGGAACTGCTAAAAGAGTCATTTTAACCCCTTTCCTGCCAGCAAATTTTCCAACCTCCACTGCCTCTTTGCCCCCTGGAAAGAAGCCCCTCCTTCCTGGAAATGCAGTCCATCATAAATGTCAAACTTGTACTTTAATTGCTGTCTTAGTTGACCTTCGTGCTAGTGACAAAATCACTAGTGTTAATCATTATCAAAAAGCTGAGTAATCAAAGTACTTGTTAATCTTTTCTCTACAGTGATTATGCTTGGAATGACATAGTAAGTAATCCATAAAACACCTACTAAAAGGGTCTAAATTTGTAGAAATGTGGCACTGGGTAGCAAGGCACAAACTACACCTTTTAAATAACAACAACAGATGGCAGAGACAGTGGAAGCAAAAAAGGCAAGCTAAATCCTAACCTGATGCTTTCTTTCATTCACTAGGACAGGGATTTAGTATTTTCTTTCACCTGTTTATTTCTCTGGGATATAGTCTGAGTAACATATTAAGATATGATGCAACTGCATCATAGTCTAACCCTCTTAGTGTAATAGGGAGCTTAGACCATTCTATGCCTTAAATTATGATTCATTGGGAGTAACGTAGTTCCTTAGATACAGTTGCATCCAATTTGTTTTAAGCTGATTTACTCTAACCATGGTGCCATCTCAACTGTTCTAGCTGCTAGATCGGTAGTGTCCAACCCATGATCTGCATGGGTTGCATGTAGCCTTGAACAACTAGTAATGCAGCCCCACAAGATACTAAAATTTTAACATTATGTCACTTATATACATTAATTATATTATACATTTTATGTGTGTCCCAAGACAATTCTTTTTTCACTCCATACAGCCCAGGAAAGCTAAAAGGTTGGATATCCCTGCTTTAGATGAAGCTACACAGGGCCATTTTAAATCACATTTCCACTAATTCCAGGAACTGAAATAGGGCCACCAAAGGGATAGGAGTGAAAGCTCAGTCACATACTTCCCTGTTAAATGGATCCGGCTTCCCCATTGATTCTGCTTATCAGAATGTCGTAAAAGGTACTCACATGACCCCAGGACACTGCAACCATCATAAATGGTTCTAAGTCAAGAACTACTTAGTAGTCTTTTCTCCCCTATAACTTTACTCAATCCTAAATGAACAGAAAACTAACAAAGAATATCCCTATTAAATCAATGTGTCAGATGTAAAAAAACTGAGAACATGGCTATTTCACATAAATATATAAAAATAAATCATGCAAAATAAATAGGCTTTATTTAGTAAGTATAATTTAAGTGATCCAGGCACACAGGCAGATAAAATAAGAGTACTAATTTACATTTTTACACTCTTTGTATTGCTTTAGCAATAGTGTGATTTATTTTAAAATAAGAAACCTCATTTTCTTATAAAATGGTGCAAAAGGTTATGCATAAATTTTCTCTGGTTTTATTCAAAAATTAGTTTGGCTGTTGTTAAATATATCTGAAATAAGTGTTTTACACAATAAAATACAGATTTAAATTTTCTATGCTTTTATAGAAAATTCAAAAGTAGGTTTATGGAAAAGATGGGAAAACAATTTATAAACCACCCAAAGCAAGGGTTAAATTAAATTTGTCTTGGCTGTCTACAGCAGGACTGCCAAAGCTCCTAGTATTTTACCTATTAATTAATACTAGTTTTACTTGTCTTCATAATATCTGATATGTTGAATTTGTATTTTGTTCAAATACTCACATCATGCAAGACATTTAACACATGTACAGAAACATCTTCAGTATTTAAAATACAATGGTTGTGTGAGCAATTAATGATAAGGCTTCTATATGAGTAGCAAACACAAATCCACCAAAAGAACAGCATACAATTCTCGGTAGTAAATTTCTCTCAAAAACACTCTAATTGCTTTGGTTCCTCCAATAATGACAATGGTTTTGTTTTCATAAAAAATAAATTATCTTTTGATACAGAATTAGTATTCCTCTCATAAGAGAAATACTATTCCTTTGAAACTGCCAATGACTTTTGAAGATTTTGAGTGTTCTGGCTCTGTTCAAATATCTGCTCTTGAGTTGCCATTCAAATTCATTCAGCACCGGTCCCCAAGACTTATTGCACTCACGTTGTAACTCAACAAAGATATTGGCACTGTTCTTGAGCGAGATTCAGAAATCCAGCAAAGTGGCTTCAGTATATTTGGACAGTGGAATAAAGGTATCCTTGAGTATCATCTGAGACCATGTCTTTTTACTACGATAGTCCCTGCTACAATATCATAAGCTGTTCTGTTGTGTTGAAAGAATAACAGAGTAATGAATGCTGGAAAGAAGGAAGCAATAGAAAAATTCTTGATCAAAGCTCGTATTGTAGACCTGTAAGGAAAAAGCAGACATATCTCTAGAATTTGTTGTCTGAACTGGACTATAGATAAGAGTGCTACATGTTAAAAATAAAAATGCTCAAAATATTGTCAGCATCGATAAACATGTTTTTTCTATTCCTACTCTTTTAATGAGTCCTTTCTATTTTGAATAAGCCAACATTTCTGCAATCATATTTTTACTTTTTTTCACAGACACATTAATTTCTAGCATTTATGTAATGAATACCATTCTCCTCCATTATGAAAAAAGATTATCACTTCTTAAAATGATGTATCTGTAGATTTAATTAATTTTCTGGAAGGAAACATTATCTTACAAATCCCAAAGGATGTCAAGCAATGTTTTTGCACTGATTGTTAGTGATATAGCTTAGGTTGTGATATAGCATTCCAGATGAGTTAGAGTCCTACATAATTATGTTAATAGCAATAGCACTTGGGTTTATATACCGCTTTATAGCCCTCTCAAAGCGATTTACAGAGTCAGCATATTGCCCCCAACAATTTGGGTCCTCATTTTACTACCCACCTCAGAAGGATGGAAGGCTGAGATTTGAACTGCCAAATTGTGGGCTGCAGAAGTAGCTTGCAGTACTGCACTCTAACCACTACGCCACAGAGGCTCTTTAACAAATGCTGTTATTATTATTGTTAATGCTGTTGAATTACTTAATCACACACAGTCTTATTGTTTAGGCAAACCTCAGAGTAGAATTGAATTACTGAAAATATTAATCTTATGATTTAAGAATCAATTTAGCACAGCTGAAGCTGAAACACGATATAATGAAATAATATAAAAATGTTTTGAGGGAGATAACCGTGACTTATTCTTCATTATACAATGTCTCCCAACAGTGGGCAAATAATTCGGATTTATATGTATGAAGAGCTATAAATAAGTTCCCCAATTTATTCAGCTATTTTCATCATTCAAAAATGGCTGAAGATAGATTTATTACATACATTTTATTGCCAGCAATGTACTTGTTAGTTTGGTTCACTTTAAAAAAAACAACACTCCCAAATCTGCATTGAGTTTAGTCAGGCTGTAAAATATCCTTAAACATAAAGCTGAAGTAGGGAATAAAAATCATATAAATCTAATAATATTTACATTATGTAGATCAGAGGTGTCAAACTCAAGGCCCGGGGGGCGAACCTGGCCCGCGGGATGCTTAGATCTGGCGCACGGCACCCTGGAAACAGCAAAAGACTGGCTCGTGGTGCCTTTGCCAGCAAAAATGGAGCTTGGGAGAGTTGCATGCCTCCTGAGCTCCATTTTCGCTGGCTCAGGGTTGTAGGAGGCCACCGCAGCTGAAAATGGAGCTTAGCAGCCCATTTTCGCTGGCAGAGCACTCGGGCCACCTCAGCCGCCCCCAACATGAATGACGTCAAGCTGGCCACCACCACCACCCGGCTGTATCCTCCCCACGAGGTCAAACACAACCCTGATGCTGTCCTCAATGAAATCAAGTTTGACACCCCTGATGTAGATTATACATCACTGAAAACATCTTAATGATTCATACAGGTATAATATTGCAGTGACAAAAATAAAACTTACGTTGTTATGCTCACATTAGACGATGGTATCACCAACACACGACTTGGTGCAATAAGTACTGATGTATCACATGTCACAACTCGAAGGCCTAGCAGAAATTTCCCAGGAGTTGCACCACCAGCTCCCCAAATACAAATAATCTGAAAGAAAAAAATTCTCGTAACTAAAATTAATGTTTTACCATGCATAATATATCAGTAATGAAACTGTCTTGAGACAAGATAAACCTAATGTAATACACATTTGAAAGAATGAGACTACAGGTTGCCTTCAAATTACGACTGGGACTGAGATTACATGACTGTAAAGTACGTAATCACCTCACTTTATAACAGCAGTCCCTGTTGTCATTGTAATTCGAGATGTGTGAATCATCAAATGGGAAGCAAAGGGAGACTACAGGTAAAGAGCAGAGTTGCTGCAGGAGTATGTGAGGGCACTGAGAGGCCTAGCCAGGACAAGCAGAAATTTGGGGAGGTGGTGCTTGATGCAACATGAACTCAGAAAAACCACCAGGAATGAGGTGCGGGGCAAAAGCAACCGCAGGGAGGCTGGGGTGCATGCATGTGAGCAAGCACAGGGTAGCCAAGGAAAGAGGGTGCAGGGTACATGTGTTCACAGGGAAGTCAAAGAAATGGATTAAGGTACATGCAAGCAAAAAGGGTGTGGGGTGTTTGTAATAGCAGAAAGGCCACGGAAAGAGGCCATGGAGTGCATGAATTTGTGCAACCACACATAGGCTATGGAAAGAGGGCATGCGATTGCAAGGACAACAGGGAATGGAGTGTGTGCACCTATGTTAGTGCAGGGAGGCAGAAAAAGAGGATATGAGTGTTTGTGAATGAAAGGGGAAGGTGTGCATGGTCATGCATGCATAGAAAGGTGGGAGATTTGTGACCTTCCTCATTGACTTTGCTTGTAGGAAGATGGCAGGAAAGGTTGCAAGTGGTGGTCATATGACTGTGGGATGCAAGTACAAGGCATCTGAGTTGTGTTCATGTGATTGTGGGGGCACTGCAATGGACCGAACTTTGAGTACCACTTGTAAGTCCCTTCATTCAATGCCATCATAGCTTTGAAAGGCTGCTGAACAAATGATGGTTAAGGACTACCTGTATAATGGGAGGGATAACTTATTTTCTGTCATCGTGAATAAAACTTGCTCTTATTTACATGGCTTTGTGCAGTTTCTGATTCTTGGTCAAATGGAAATTTTAGTTGCTATTTACCGTTGGCAGTATTGGATGTCAATGGCTTTTATAAATATTCTGAATATTTATTAGGTTAATATAATCTCATTAATCTAACTAAAAATTAAATTAAGTTCATAAAACATATGGGTCAACAATGAAAATAGATTGAATAGTCTCCAAAATAAATATTCTATTGTTTGTACAAGTAAAAGTTGTATACCTCATAGATGCAGACCAGCAATCTATAGATAAGGGCCACTATCATCATCTTTTGCAAGTCTTCCATGGAAGTTTCATCATCTATTTCTTCTATAATGTAGTGCATAGCAAACTTTGAGATATCCCTGCATCAAAAGTATAATACAGTAAGTAATACTATGAATAAGCAATACTATTCTATGTATAGCTTAGAGGTAACATAAACTGTAAATGGAAACATTTTTATTTAGTGGACTTTTTGTTTCAGAAGAATATTCAGGGTACAAAAGATATGTACTTTAAATTTGAAAGTACTACTAATAAAACATATTGTCAAAGAAAATGGCATCTGAGGGCTCTTTTATACATTTTGTTTGCTCTAGCATGATAATGACTCACAAATTGTTTCTTGAGGATAGAAACATATGACACCATCCTCAACCCATCCTCAGCACATATGGGTAACTTTTGCCCATATTTTATTGATCTGCATTAAAGATAGTATGATTTTAGATGGCAGAAATGGTGGCGTAGCATGGCTGCTTTGTTTCATTTGGCTGCTGGCAAATGTTTTTGCTCCAATGTCTAAGGTCTGTGCTGTGGCAGAAACGTCTTCTTTGGTCACCGGTTCCTGTTCTTCAGGGCCTGCTGGGCTGCCTGCTCCCTTCTGAAGGGACCTTCCCACAGTGGAGAAATGAATCGATGGGCTCTCCCCCTCTCTGAGGTGAACTGGTGAAATGCTGGATGAACCTTTTTTCTTCCAGTAGGTTTACTGATGGCATGAAGAAAGACTTTACTCTCTTTTCTGTTTCTTTTTTCAGATTGGATGAAATTAACAAGACTTCTGCTAATTTCCCTCTGCAGGTTAAACAGGAGAAAGTCCCTATTTTCTTTAGTATTTTCTTTTGAGAAAGTACACAAGCGGGGACATTTATCATGGCAATTGTCACCCCAACAAAACATCTAGACAGCATCACTGACAAAACAGAAGAACAGATAGAAACACGGATACAATAATTTTTTAAAACTTTCAAACTTTTATTCCATCCTGTTTGAACACAGGAGACAAATAGCTAAAGCTGCCAGGAAAACATCCTTTACTTTTAAAATTCTTTTTAAGAAGAAAATATATACTCATTTTATATGATCCATGCCTGCAGTTTGAAATGGAATAGTTTACTGTATTTAGAACTAAATATATAACATAGCAAGCAACAGATATAACGAAAGTGATTAACTAGATTATGTACTGTGCAACTTACTTTATTCCACTTAAGTGCATAATACTCAAAACTATTGATGCCTTGATAAAGAAAAGAATAAAGAAATCCACCATCTCTGCTATAAATCGATGAGCCAAAGACGGGATTGTGTATTCACGACCTGAACAAAAACAAATAATTTATTTTACATTAAATATCATAGAACAAACTCTGTAATATAAGTAAGGTCAAATAATTAATTAAAAACTTCATTTTACACACTAATTTACATTTCAAGTGACAATAAAATAAACTCATACTTAAGAAGATAGGGACAAACTGAAAATGTATTAGGTTATACATTTTACTACAGATCATTATGAGATCTTTTGATATAATTCTGCCCTTCCAAAGGTAGCTGCAATGTACGGACTTCACAAAGGATTAAACACTAGCCATATTCTGCTGTGCCATGCTGTGGTTAGACAATTGAGACTTAATGCCTGAACTGAGATACCAAGCACGTTCTCGTAAGACACCATAAACCTTTCTCTACCAACTATAGGGCCAATCTTGCTCCTTTATTTAATTTGTGCCCTGCCTTTATTATTTTAATAAATAACTCAAAGCAGTGAACTTATCTAACAGGTTCCTCCTCCTATTTTCCCCATAACAACAACCCTGTGTAGTGGGTTGGGTTTATGCCAGGATTTGATCACTATAAATAGAGAATTAGAAGACTCTTGATGTTAATTGACGATCTGATCCACTGCCATGCTCTTTAAAAAGAGTAGCAGGGCACCTTACACTAAGAGGCCATTGTACCAGGGACTGATAAGAGAAGCCGATATTGAATCTGATATCATTCCAGAGATACAGAAATGAAAAATTCAAGGCTCAATAGTATTGTTACCTAATATTGTTAAGCAATACTAATACTGTTACCAGGCATGTAGAGCCATAATCAAAGCCACTCTAATATTCCTATTAAAGCATTTCAATAAGTACCAGTTCCTGGCTACCATTTTCAGCAGCAAACCAGGAATTATTCTCCACTGTCCAATTGCTAAGGCCAATGAGTTAGCGATATCATATCTAATTCTTCATTACAGTAATAGATCAACATAGAGATAGCTATAGGAAAAAGCCCTCTGCTTATTTCTCTGCTGTTATTTTTTTAAAAATTCAAAATCGAGGAATTGAATCCAGTTTTGTATAACTGGACTAATGGAAGGAGACTTCTTCGCTACGTATTCCCACTGCAGCCTTTCAAGATAACCGAAAATGATATTAGGTGGGAAAAACAACTCATGAATAAATAAGACTGCTGGATAAAATGCTGAAGCAGTAGCACAGAAATCCTTCGAAACTCATCAGATGTACCCTCAGGCACCAGCCCCAAAGATTCCACAACCCAATTTTCAAAGATGGTGTTATTCTCATTGTAACTTTCTTATGGTGTAAGTCAGGGGTCTCCAACCTTGGCAACTATAAGACTTGTGGACTTCAACTCCCAGAGTTCCTCAGCCAGCTTTGCTGGCTGAGGAACTCTGGGAGTTGAAGTCCAAAAGTCTTAAGGTTGCCAAGGTTGGAGACCCCTGGTGTAAGTTCCTTTGTCTCTCTAAGTAGTAATTTTATTTCATGTATTTATTCTATTTATATACCACAGAATCAATACAGACTGTCCGCAATATACAATATATGTATACAAAATATGCAATATTTCAGGCATCCACAATAAACACAAATATGGAAAAGTAATAAAAAGCTACAAGGATAAAAATAATGAAAAATAAGTCACACCCAAGCAAAAAAAAAAAAAAAGCAAATAAACCACTGTAAATAATCATAATGACATACATTAAAGTTGGCAATAACAAACGTTTCAACCAAACGATCTTTGAAAAAGTCCTATCTTTATCTGTTTCTGGAAGGTTGGAAGAAACGGGAAAAGTCTCAACCTGAAAGAAAGAATAGTCTACAAAGACAGAGCAACAACCTGAAAAACAGCGCATCGTGACAAGCATCCTCCCTATTTTATGAAAGAGGACATGGCCAAAAGCTTCTGAGAAAATTCAGCAAAAGATGGAAAGTAGGGCTGCTCTGAGGGCAGGAGCAAGTGTATCAGTGCAGTTATAGGCATATATGCAGTATTTTGTTTTTATTTTCTGTCTTTAGGATGCACTCATTTCATACTGCAATATACAGTACAATTCATTGATTTATCTATCATTCTTCCACAAGCACTTTTACCAGATATTTCTAGAGCAGCCCACTAATTTTAACCTGCCTAAGGTTGAATGAAATTATTTAGGTGTGCTCTTTTTGTTAATCAAAGGTCAAAGAGAGCGAATTGGGACTAACCTGCTCTTCCAACTTTTGAAAGAGGCAGAAGTTCTATTTTTTTTCAAAAAAATGTTCCTTTCCATTACATCCAGAGAAAACTAACAAAAAGAGCCATTTCATTTCAGCAAGAGGCTGAGATAGGATGACTGCTTCCTGTTTAACCTGGTCTTACATTGAGGGTCAATGCATAAATCTGTTACATGGTAACAGTAATAGTGCTGCATTATGATAATGGGGTTTGTAGCATTTGTAGTCCTCATACAGTAATTAATTACAGGTAGCCCTCAACTTATGACAAGTCATGTTGTTAAGTGAGAAACCTGTTAAGTGAATTTGTCCCATTTTACGACCTTTCTTGCCACATTTGTTAATCACCACAGTTGTTAAATTAGTAACAAGGTTGTTAAGTGAATCTGGGGTCTCCATTGGCTGCTTGTCAGAAGGTCACAAAATGACTCGAGACCACTACAATCGTCATAAATATGAGACAGTTGCCAAGCAGTTCCCTGACCGCAGGGATGCTGCAACGGTCATAAATGTGAAAAATGGTCATAAATCACTATTTTCAGTGCCATTGTAACTTTGAATGGTCACTAAATGAATTGTTGTTTAAGTTGAGGACTACCTGTAGTCTTTCCACCCAAACTCACTGGGTTCACCTTGTCTCTGTGCCCATCTGGGTTTATGCACTTCAAAATGAGGACATCTTAAGTACTGTACACCAGTGATCCCCAACCTTTTTTATGCCACGGCCCGGTACCGGCATCAGCTGGGCGCCGCCATCTTGTTTTGATGAAAAAGTGCTTCCGGTGAGCTTTCTACCCGGAAAAGCTCACCGGAAGCACTTTTTCATCAAAACAAGATGGCGGCGCCCAGCAAACCAGCGGCCCGGTAGGACTTGTTCCACGGACCGGTACCGGTCCGCGGACCGGTGGTTGGGGACCCCTG